GGGATCCACAACCTACCGTCGCCATGTTTTTATTTGCCAATATTTTTAAAGTTTAGTTACGTTTTTTCAGCCGAAATCGACCAGTTTAATGTTCCTTCTGTTCTAGCACACACATTATCGACTTCATTTTACATAGGCCTGTCCTATAAAGCAGGAAGTATTCAACAAAACTCTGACCATTGTCGTGCTCTCGACAAAGAGCCAAGAAAGAAAGGCGTGGTAGCATAAGCGCATGCTCCAGAAAGCACCTTTAATGTCTCCTAATAATCGAGAAATAGTATCAACAAAGCACGCATATCTAAATGGATATATCTGGAACAACTCGGTCTGCAAATTATTATTTACTAGCCGAGAAATAGTTTTATACAAAAAATCAGAAATATGAAAGACTGGTTTATTATAAAGTCACCTAGTTACGGCCGTAAAGAACAGCGCATACGGGGTGGAAGTGGGTTAAAAGGGGAGAAAAATGGAGACCGCTAATAAGCACGAAACGGCATTATCTGGTTGATTGTCCTTGTTGTACGTAATGCACTGGCAGGTCTGCCAGGGATTGAAACGGCCACCTTGTTCTAGGCGCAAACCCAGGCTTCTTTTTCCCTGAAAAGTTATTTTTGGTCCTGCGCCAGTCTCTTTTGGTAAGATTGATAACATTTACGAGGAGATTTAAATCGGAGCTACTGGCAGGAGGCGGGAGGATGATCCCTATGTCGAACCACGAGATTTTCATCGTAAGCTTCATTTGATTGAACGGTGAACAGGAGTATGATCCTTCAAGACTGCAGTTTTCGTTCTTTAACGGTAAATTTCGGGGTTACCAAACGCATTCCTCATGCTACTGATGAACACCTTGCTGCATGATTCACTATAAGGACACCCGAGGTACTGGCTAAAAAGCCAAACATATGTTCTGCCGAATCATGCAATATTTGAATATTATAGACTGCTTGTTGACAACTTATCAATACTACGCGGTTATCCCGCAGTATTTGACAAAATCCGGTTCAAATGTTCCTTTTAGCTTCCGGTCTGAGCCGGGAAAGATTTATTTTGGGGGATTTACTCTAGCCCAATGCATTCGTTTCTGAGGAGATTATAAAACTGAACGCCTTGCTACTGGCGGCGTCCGTTGCCAAATGTCAGACCCGTCGACAGATTTTGAAAAGTTGGCTCCTTGCCTAAAGAAAAAACATCGCTAAAATAAAGGATCTTCCTGAATAAATGTTGATAGCCAACGTACTTCTTAGCAAATAAAATACTTCCTTTACACGGTTTCCGAGCTAAAACTGATTGTGACGTGAACTTTTGCAGATAAAAACCGAATTTCCCTACCTTATTCCCAATTACCCAAAGAGAGAATAGTGACAAGCCTTTCCCGTGATTACTTAGCGGGCATATGGTTATGGTGATTCACGAATAAAACTGTCGTATTTCTTATTTCTGGTCCCCGCTTGGTTCTAAACACAGTTTTGCCAGCATTAATTCGACAGAGGGGGACCACGCTAATGTTAATAACAATTTACACGGCACCCCTGCAAGTGCATATCTGTTTGCAGACAACAATAGGGCAAATATGTCCCGGAATTTCCATCTTGTGACGTGATAAAGAAAAGTGGAACTATGCGGCGGGTACTCCCTTTGTATTTGTTCACGACTTGTAATTCTTGATGCCTTAAAAAGGCTATTGTCAAATGACCTCATTGCTGTGTTTTCTGGTACAAAATACTACTAATTGATAAATCACAGTTTTTAAAGTTGAATTCGCTTCTTATTGTCTAAAAAGCATACGGAATCTAATATGCGATTTCGTCTGATTATCCTGGGTATAAAGTTCAATTGCTCAATTACAGAAAGCATTTAGAGTAAACTTTTCGTGCTCGTTTCCTTACACAGCAAAACAGGAGCTAACATCCGACCTTCATCCGAAACACTTAACGACAAAGTAAAATACTTGGCATCATGTGATGGATATATTCGAGCAACCGTTGTATATACGTAACGTTAGGATAGTAAGGGTTATATAAACACCGCAAGTTAGTCTTGAAAAAGCGAAACTACCCAAAAGCCAGACCCTTGAATTGATTTTCGAGACAGTCAGTTTAGTTCGATAATCAGTTTTCAAAAGGTAAAATAATTGAAAAAAACAATTTGAACGGACTCTAAAGGGTTAAGAATGCGAGCGAAGAATTTGAGTGCCGACCAGTTGAATACAGTTCACCACTTCAACTACCTCCTGGATTGCATTGTCTCTACCCAGGCGATTATTTATCGTTATGGTGGTTTTCAGTCGGTATAAAATCCCACTACTAGGTTTGTAGTCGCAAATGAAATGAAACTGGTCTACGTAAGGGCAAATCGCACCTTCGACCGGTTTTCTGTCTCTGCTCGCCTGAAGGACGTTGAGTTATATGGGTTTTTGAACAACCATCCTGTGCAAAGCACTAGCTACGACAACTGGTCTCAGCGTGTTAACCTGCTCGGGGGTCGTTTTCATAGAATTCTGTTTTTGGTTCATTAGATTTTTGCTCTAGAATTTAGGAGTAGAGTGATATTTGTTGCTTGGGCTTATGCGACATTTAAACTACGCATGCACAAGTCACAGCGGTATATCCCATGAACTACTAAAGCAATTGCCAATAATGAGCTGTTACCTTGGAGCTCGGAAAATCTAAGCCCCGATAATAAGTTAAAGAACGTCGCTGGAGACCAAAAGGTAAGTGACCGCGCAGGTAAGCAACCATCGCGCTCCTAGATTGGCCTTTTGTCTACTTGTTTGTGTTTGTCCTTGTGGAAAGCTAAATGGCGTTCTGTTGAATTTCCTCTGCTGCCTTTGCTTTTTGCTGTTCTCGCCTGCTGGCTTTTTTCTGCTGGTTCTTGTGCGACCTTATTGTAAGCTAAATATTAAATGTTGAATTTGTCTACTCACTGTTTATATTTCAGTAATCAGTTGGTTTAGAAAGGGACGTGAAAGCTCTGCATCCCGTCTCCATACCCTCCCCCATTCAAGTCTTACGGCGTGAGTGACAACGACTTCGTAGGTGGCCCAGGCTAACTCGGGTCGTTCTCCCACTAAACACAAAAGCCGTGGCCCATAGTGGAGTCCAGCGGCCGTCTGGGATGTATGAGAAGCCTATTTAGGGAGGGCACTGTTCACACCCACGAGGGAGAATAGGTCAGAAAGGCTGCCCTACACAAATGCTGGGATTCACGTCGTCTGCACGCTGACCGTGGCCCACAGACACAAAACACACGGTCAAAACAACCAAATCGAAAACAAAATTCTCTCTCTTCCTTCTACCCCTCTCCGCCGCCCCAATCGCCAGACTGGTAGGGTGAGTCCGCTCACTCTGGCAGCCTGGAATGTTTGTTCCCTTTCAGACAACCTCAGTAACATCCGACCGGAACGGAGGACGGCGCTAGTGGCCCACGAACTGGCGTGCTACAAGGTGGACATCGCTGCACTCAGCGAAACCCGCTTCTCTGAACAAGGAAAACTTGAGGAGCTTGGTGCCAGCCACACCTTCGTCTGGAGCGGTCGTCCAAAGGCAGAGCGACGGTACGAGAGCATCGCCTTAGACAACCCGAACGACATCATGGGACGACTGTCCTGTCTGCCGCAGAGCATCAACGATCGTCTAATGAGCCTCCACCTGCCTCTCCGGGAAGACAGATTCGCCACAATCGTCAGCGTCTACGTCTCCCCGATGACCAGCCCTGACGCTGAAAGGGACAAATTCTATGAGAACCTGCACGCACTCCTGGCGACTGTGTCGAAGGCGGATAAGTTGATTGTCCTTGGTGAGTTCAACGCCCGCGTCGGCACAGGCAATGCTGCCGGGAGAGAAGTGCTGGGTCCCCATGGTCTTAACGGCTCCAATAACAGTGGCATGCTCCTCCTATGAATCTGCGCAGAACACTGGCTTATCCTGGCTAACACCTACTTCCGCCTCCCGCTGCGAGAGAAGGTCACCTGGATGCACCCTCGTTCGCGACGCTAGCACCTGCTGGGCTTTGTCCTCGTCCGGAGGCGAGACCAGCGGGACGTGCGGATGACAAAGGCGATTCCGGATGCCGACGGGTGAACCGACCATCGCCTTATCCTTTTCAATATGCGGATTCACATGCAGCCTCGCAGGGGACCTCAAGGTAAGCAACCGCCACGTAAGTTGAATACTGCTTTGCTACCCTCGCCTTGGACGCTTGGACGGCTCACAAGGCCAAGAGGATCCAAGCATAGGCGAGCCACAACGAATGGAAAAGCTTCTTCGTCTCAATAAAGGCTGTCTACCGTGCCACGGCCCAGGCAAGTACTGATCTTCTCAGCATCGACGTAACCACCCTACTCACTGGGAAGATGCGAAGTTTAAAGCGGTGGGCCGAACACTTCAGAGGCGTCCTCAACCGCCCCCCTTCCCCCCCCCCAACATCTCCGACGCTGCTATCACCTGTATGTATCAAGTGGAGAACAACACCAACCTCGATCTCCCGCCATCAGGGCCAAGCAGCAGCTCTCCAGCGGGAAAGCGCCCGGATCGGACGCGATCCCTACTGAGATCTACAAACGTGGTCACCCCCAAATCATGAATCATCTGACGGCGCTCTTCCAGCCGATGTGGCATCATGAACAAGTCCCGCAGGATTTCAAGGATGCCACAATCGTCCACCCCTATAAGCAGAAAGGTAATCGTTAGTTCCGCGACAACCACTGAGACGTCTCCTTGCTGAATATAACTGGGAAGATCTTCGCTCGCATTATTTCCAACCGCCTGAACAATCACCTGGAACGAGGCCTCCTACCGGAAAGCCAGTGCGGCATCAGCCATCATCGCGTAACCACGGACATGATCTTTGTCACCCGTCAACCGCAGAAGAAGTGTCAAAACATGTGGACCCGCCTGTAATCTACCTTCGTGGATCCGACGATAGCCTTCCACACGGTGAATCGCGAAGGACCGTAGAAAATCATGCAAAAATTCGGCTGTCCTGAGCGTCTCACTCAGATGATGCGTCAGTTCCACGGCGGCATGATGGCGCGAGTCACGGACAATGGAGCTGTCTCAGAGACATTCGCAGTGACCAACGGAGTGAAGCAGGGCTGCGTCCTCGCGCCCACTCTCTTCAGCCTTATGTTCTCTGCCACGCTGATGGACGCCTGCCGTGACGAACGCCCTGGGATCCTCATCGCTTACAGGACGGACGGCAAACTCCTTTACCACTGGCGGATGGACTTCCAGTCGCGGGTATCCGAAACCACCGTCCATGAACTTCTCTTAGCCGACGACTGCGCCCTCAACACCACCATGGAAGGGGACATGCAAAAGAGCATGGATCCCTTCGCCGCCGCCTGCGACAACTTCGGCCTGGTCATCAACACCGAGAGGACTGTGATCATGAATCAACCGCCACCCAACGCTGCCTACGTCGCACCCCAACTCAATGTGAACGGTGCCCAACCGCAAGTCGCGGACAACTGCTACTTCCTGTGCAGCACCCTTTCCCGCACCACCAAGACCGACGATGAAGTGGCCCGTCGGATTTCCACAGCTAGTCGAGCCATCGGCCGTCTGCAAAGCACAGTCTAGAATCAACACGGTCTTTATCTCAACACTAAACTGAAGATGTACAAGGCGGTCATGCTGCCAACGCTGTTGCATGGGGCGAATACCTGAACGGTGTACAAGAAGCAGGCGCGAATACTCAACCCCTCCAAACTCGGCTGTCTTCGACGGATAATGAAGCTGAGGTGGCAGGGCCGGATAGCGGACACAGACGAACTGGAACGGACGGGAATCCTCAGCATCTGTGGCGTGCTGATGCAACTGCAACTGCGCTGGATCGGCCACCTCGACACTGATGTGCTGGAACGGACGGGAATGCGCAGCATCTACGCCATACTGAGGCAAATGCAGCTGCGCTGGAGCGGCCACCTGATGCGCATGGATGACGAGCGGTTACCCAAACGACTCCTCTACGGAGATGTCGCCACTGGTTCCCACCGACAAGGAGGCCAAGTCCGCCGCTACAAGGACACTTTGAAGACCTCCCTGAAGCGTCTGCAGATCAACCTGGCCAACTGGAAAGATCTCTTCCGAGACCGACCGACTGACCTGGATGAGGACACTGAAGACAGTCGCAGTGACCTATGAAGCCAGCCACATAACCGCCGTCAAAGTCAAACGCGAGGATCGCAAATATCAATTGCGCTCACCTCGTAATGCCAACGCTTAACCACCCTCTACCTGTCCACTCTGCCGGCGGGCTTTCGGGCCACCAATCGGCCTTGTAGGACATTTCCGTACCAACTGCAGCACTCGGCCTACACCAGCTGTCGTCTCCTCCTCGAACTCTGCCTCATTCTTGACACCGACAACTAGCACTGATCTCACTCCCGAACCCGCACTAGCATCCTCCTCTTCTTCATCCGCCTTCTCATCATCCTCCATTGACCCAACATACGCTACGGCAGCTCCTGTACACACTAGCAGTTCACACAACCCTGTCACACTTACAAACGTCAACCCCTACCAACTCGACCCATACCTGTTCTCATTGCGACCGCACCTTTACCTCGCGCATCAACCTTGTTGTTCATTTGCGAATCCTTCGCAAAGAGACTGACGAACCAGTGCCTGAAGCACCAGCATACACCAGACGCATTCGCCTCAACTGCCCACGGTGTCCGCCATTGCCACCATTTCCGAAACCGACACTGGCACCGCCGACTCTTTCTGTCCACACTGTCCCCATTCATCCACCATTGCGCAGAGACTGGCGGATCAGTGCCTGGAGCGCCTACATGCACTCGCCAAATCGTCCCAACTGCCCTCATTGTATCCCCTAATTCAGCCACCGCATGGGCCCATTAGTCCACATGTGTATTTACGAAAACCTGTGGTAGACAGCCGCCACCCACACCACACCATCGCATCTTCCGCACCTAAAACACACAGCATCATCACCCATCATAAGCATCCAATTGCCACCTCCCACAGAAGTGGCCAGTGTGAATGTCTGCTCCATCTCCATGCGCCCCCTCTGGTTCATGTGCGATTTGAGTCTGAGACTGTCACGGTGCGTCAAGCGCCGTGGCTTGGAATGACGCCCCAACTCAGTCCAAGCAGTCTGCCCAGTTGTGTGTTTGTGTCGATTAGTGGGTCGAGAGCCAGGCTGAAGTGGCTCATTCCCAACGTGACCTACGACACTCAAACGCATGTAAGATGTACATCGCTGAATCCCCGTTGTGTGAAATCCCGGCGCTTGTGTTTGGGGGGCCGGGTCGTGCATGAGGCGCGTGCAAACAAGGTCACTAGGCCATGTCAGCCACCACGCCCATTCCCCGCACCTGTCAACTGAGCGGCTCGGACAGTGACTGGGGCCTGGAAATGGTAAGGGAGAGTGAAGTCGACGGCTCATCGCACTTTCCCCTCACTATAAACAATCTGACGCGATTGAAGCTATCACTGTACACTAAAGGCAGTGGCTTGGAAGGTTGCCAACTGGCGAGATTACTTGGACCTCGCAGTCGGCCCAGTGCTGTGTGTTTGTGTGGACAGGTCAACTGGTGGCCTAACAGTTAGGCTGCAATGACTCCTTCTTGATATGGCCTTTATTGCACTCCCACTCCGTGGGATCCCAGCCAGGTGTGACGGCACGCCTAGGTGCGACCTCGGCCGCACCAGCCCCTTTTGATGTTAAAATCGTGGTCATTCGCTGCATGAGTCAGGGAGTGTGAGGTGGAAAGCAAAGGTGCGGGTTCGACCGTGCCATCCACCCGCACCCTCCCCCGCCTCCGGTCTTCTTCACTCTGTCCTGACAACGGGCCCAGGTGAGGAGTGGGAGATTAGACTGCGGTAGATGCTGCGCAAGTCGACATTCACTATAAGCTAAATAACGCGCAAGTCACCGTCCCTGCCCTCACCATGTTGTGCAGCACACGGTAGAAATCGCCGACAACGACGGTCGAACTATCGGTAGCAAAAATGCACGAACTAAACCTCCCCTCAATGGTTCAAGAATCCACAGTGAAATTATTGTACCTCTTTCTGTAAACACACTCACATTTCCTTCATTGTTGCCGTCAAGAGCTGCAACTATGGCCTTTCACAGATTTCCACCCATAAGGTTCCAAACGACCAAGATTTTCGTGTCCTTATAAACACCTTGTCGAGAAAATTAATTTTCCAATCACTCCCTTGCAGTTATTTTTAAATTTCGGATGCAATGTCATGCTAAACAGAAGAGAAAAACACGCAACTATGTTCCAGAGATTAGGTAGTGCATGATCCTTTAACAACTCAAGATGGCTTTCTCCCCCATTGATTGTGAATACCATCTATTTTTCACAGGAATTAGCTCGGCCAACACATTTTTCCGCGCTCAATCTTAATTGATGGTCAGGGGGAAACATTTATGACGATTTACGTGATAATCCAGTTTAAGTGCTGTCGTGCCTGACCCTATATCTGCATTATGAAAGCCCCATTGTCACCACTCAGATAATTATTCCTGTCAACCTAAATGGCCATCTTGTGTGGAATTTATTAGTCAACTTGAATTGATTCAAAATTCGAGTCCACCAGAGCTCTAGGAGCACTTATTTGACCTTAGAGTGACCTACATGATCTAGATCTGGCTGATGGTTTTGGAGAGTGTGTCAATGCACTTTCGGCTGATTCAGTAACTACACCCTGTTTGGAAGGCATCTGACTTCCATGCATTGTTTTCTTAATATTTCGCAGGTTTCTCAGATTCCCCTTTCAGGACAATAAATATTAGATATGTGAAAGTTTTCTTTCGTAGCTGAGCTTTTAATATTTTAGTTCCAGTTTGAATTAGCCCTTCTCTTTTCGAAATGTTGTCCCATCCCTGTCGCACATGTATTCGTGTAAGCAACGTTTTGCTTATTAAAAATATTCGTGTTATGCTCCCAAAACAAACAAGTGTTATCTGCTGTAAGAAATCCCCCCTTCATGTTAATGACTGGTCCTTTTAATCGACTAACCGACACATCGTTCCTTTGACGATCCTTGACTTCGTGACCGCATCCTCTGCAATAACTACATGAAACCCAACGTTTCAGCCATCTTCGTGGCATTAAGTGACATGTAGCATTTGTCTTCTATGCAAATTTGATTAAACAACTCATGTGTATTTAGGTTCAAATTTCTAAATCGTCCTAACCATCTCTAATATCCCCTTATACAAATACGGCGCTTGCAGTTCCGATAAGTGGTAGAGCGAATAAAACAGCAACGTACCTTAATTTTGGCACAATTCCCATTCAGTCTCTAGCCCACTTAGCCTTTTGGCACGTCTATCTAGAGGCAATCGATTTGGGAATAAAACTGTTCTTTCTCGCCTCGAGTCAGTCATTATTCATGCACCATTAGGGAAACAACGGAAGGGCTCGGATTTAGTAGATAAAGATCTCTTCTCGATGATCAAGCTACCCTTTCCTCGGAATATCCGATCCAAACTGATAAAGCTAGAAAAACGTCAGTCAAGATTGCTTTCGGGGCAGTCATTCATGCAATCGCAAAATCGGAGTCATTCACCCTTGTGGAGACTGAGAGAGACTTATGAGTCTCTTGAAGGTTAAATTCAATGCGAGCGTAAACACTACCTAACCAAGACGAAACTTACGCGGGAAAGATGAATGTGCTTTGGGGATATATAATAGAGGAGGGAAATATGAGGCTGGCTTAACTCAATTGTCTGTCGCACGAATACTTCGGTAGTTGGTCCCTCCCTTTATCAGTCTCATCGATCGCACAGCGGAAATGTTTACTTCGACTGAACAGTTTAGTAAATCTCTCTCCTCATCTTCGAAACCGAGATAAACGCCGTACAGGCCTCCTGGACCGCCAGGACTCAAGAAGTGTTTGCGTGGGTTGTCTTGGAATAAGAGCACTTCAGACGTCCATTTCACGGTCTTAACAATATTATGATTATTTATATCTTTAAACCAAAAAATATCTTTTTCTAGTGTAAAATTTAACGAGGAGGTTATGTACTGCCGAATGAATACAAGAAAATATATTTTATGCATGACTTCTATAAAGTATATTTGAATTCATAATGGCACCAGAAAAACGGTAGAGAAAATCCGCACTAGCCCGATAGTCAATTTGTAGTGTATGAGTTTTGTGAGCGGCTGGTGAGCCTAAAATACCTCGGCATCAAACTACACGATTATCAGTATTGCTTTCCACTCGAAAACATGCTTCGGACTTTTGGTTAACATTTCATCGGACACCCCGCTTGCTGTAGTCAAAAGAACGGTCAATGTAAGGCATAAAACAGGGGTTGCCATATAGCTTACCAGAAATTAACTGGCTTGAGATTTTCGCAAGACGGTGACAGATGATGGCCATGGAGATGCGTGCGATGCTGGCCCTGACCCCTCAACGATGCGTTCACACATTCCCAGCGCATTCTTGATATCCGGTAGGACATGCGAAATCCTTAGGTATTCTTTTGACTGGGTTATCTGCTGGCGGACGCGAGGACATCACGGGCTGTGCAGGTACCCCTCCATTTCTGCTTTTCAGAGCGTCGGAAAAGTAAAATTCCATAGAGCCTTTAACTTACTTTACAAGAAAATTAAACGACTCTTCAGAGTAACTTTCTTATACACTTTCCTCACAGATGCTAAGTGTCTTAAAGTGTTTTACAGGAAGTCATTAAACAGAAAAGTGTACTCAAATAAGTTCGTTAGTATTGCCCTAAGTGATCAAAAGCCATTTTTCCAGTTGAATTGTGTTATGAGGAGGGCGACATGCTTTCGGTTTATCTAGGCAGTTATCAAATATCATCCCCGCCCAACTTAAACGGGTAATTTCTAAAGCATGTTAGGGTATCTATTTAAAACTTTGTCTCAAGGATGAGAAATTCTCTGCATGTTGTATACAATAGTTATCCCATTACCCGCCTTTATGAGCCTAAAACAAAACGATCGTTTCATTCGAAATGCTGGGGTCGGGCTCAGTAAAACACCTTGGCGGACGATATGCTAATGCAAAATTTATTGATGTCTCTGTAGGAAAAGGTTGATTTTCTGCGAATGAAAAACCATTATGTCAAGTGTTCGCGTTACAGGCCACGAAGTACAGTGTTTGTTGAAAAGCTTGCTTTTGCGGGTGCACTG